CCACATGGAAGAAGCACCCCAGTCTGTGTGATCATGAGGTGTCGAAGGGATCAGGAATCAGGCATCAGAAGACCCCAAAACAAACCATCATATCGATTTGAACAAGGAGGTCGGAGTGGAGACCCAATGCCCATCTGTAGACAATTGGACATCCCCATCACAAGGAAGGAGCTAGTCAGTCAGGATGCAGACCAGCACCAACAAAACACACAACATCCCTCTAGTTCTTTAATGAATCCTACCCCCCCACACACACATACATACATACTATCATGACCCCAGTTCTATCTTACAAATCCAGCTATACCAGAGCATATACACTGGTACAGATAAGAGTTCTCAACACATGGAACCCAGGACAGATAAACCCCTCAGGAACAATAATGGGAGTAATGATACCATGAGGGTAGGGGGAAGGTAGAGAGAGAAGGGGGAGATAGGGGGAACAGATCACAATGATCAACATATTCATGCCCCACCCCCTCCAGGGAGATGAACAACAGAAACATGGGTGAAGAGAGACAGTGGATGGTTTAGATGTCAAAATAATAATAATTTATAATTTATCAAGGGTTCACAATGATGGGAGTGTGGCGAAGGGAGGGAAAAACGAGGAGCTGTTACCAAGAAAGGAAATGTTTTGAAAATGATGATGCCAACATATGTACAAATGTGTTTGATACAATTGATGTATGCATTGTTTTAAGAGCTGTAAGATCCCACAATAAAATGATTTACAAAGATAAATAAAGAGGAAAAATTGCCTTTAACCATGTTAGAATGGATATTACTTTTGTGATCCAAGTAATACAAATATTAAAAAGAAAAAATTAAGATAATCAATAGAAGGACTTGGAAATTAGTTGTTTTCTTTTTCTCCTGCCAATATTGCAAATATCTCTGTCACATAATCGAGTTACACCAGGGAAGTGAATTTCTTGCAAAGAATCTGCGTACAAAGATCAGAAGTTAAGTTGCAGCCTGTCTAAAAGTGTCGGATTCTTAGGAGCTGAGAATACATCATCATAACGAAAAGTTCATAAGGAATGAATTTATATTCCACAGAAGTGATCTGAGTAATCTGCCCCATGTCCACTGACATTGGGTGGATGCTGACTCATGGAGATCCTATAGAGGGTTATGAGACTGAAATTTTCCCGGAGCAGAGAGCCTCATTGTTCTCCCCATGAGTGGTTGGTAGGTTTGAACCTCCCACCTTGCAGTTAGCAGCCCGATGCTTAATCCACAGTGCTATCAGGACCCCTTCATCTACCTCATAAAAGTAAACCAAACTCATTGCCATCAGGTTGATGCGGACTCATTATTGAGCCTGTGGAACAAGGTAGAACTGCCCCTGTTGGCTTTTGAGACTATACATTTTTACAGGAGTAGAAAGCCTCATCTTTCTCCCGCAGAACTACTGACCTTGTAGTTAGCAACCCAACTTCACCACCTTTTACTAATGGAAGGTCTGAATAACAGTGATGTTTAAGGTATGGTCTCCTTTTTTCAGACATTTATGGTTTATGTTCCAAAGAGTTTTACTAATTTTAGGACCTAATATTTAAATCTTACCTGGACTGCTGTGTACATTAAGATGAAGGAAAGGAGTATAGAAGATCAAAGGCATACCTCTGACCTAAACAGCTTAAATGTTGTCTGTAGCTCCCCGCCCCCCACTGTAACGCAGGCCGGTCCTGATCCGGTTTACAAAATGGTCTGTATTTTCAGTTTGTATTGTTTTGTTTAGTGTTCGTTCATTCATATCAGAGTGCATCTCAGAGGCGTTATGTCAATGGAAGTCACTGGCTTGAAGCTGTGTTATCTGCTTTTCTGTTTTTCGGTTGATGAAACCCAGGATTGATGAACCGACAAGGACAGCAAGTAGAATAAGGGGTTTGGGGGGCGAGGGGTGGTGGGGGGTCCGGTGGTGGTGGTGGTGGTGTCAAAGGGAGACAATGTCAAGGAGTCCATGTAGCAAAAGAATGGCTGCAAACTGATTGTGGTGGCAATTGTACAATTCTACTTGACATGATTGAAATATGGAATGATGTGTTATATGTATTAAATCCAAACTAATAAAAAAATTGACAGGGTGGGGAGTGTAGATGAAGGAGCGACAGTGTGGTCTTCTTTTTGAAAAAGACTTCTTCAAGCTGAGTACGGCTGTGAGATGCCTACGCTTCCCTTGAGAGGCACACAGATACTATCTAGCCCCAACAGGGTGAGGACACCGGTCAGCAGGGGTTAGGGAGAAGCCAGAGGAGATTGTGGAAGAGGTGTTGTGACTGCAGTGGGTTGGAGTGGGAGCCAGACTTAAGTGTTTTACATAAAAGAGTGCAGGGACTCATGAGATTCTAAGCATTCTGAACAAAAAATGTAGCTCCACTGTGCAGGCAGGGAGCTGTCTATGAATAATTCCTCATTTACAGAGTATGTGCTGTTTAAAAAGCCCCTAAAGGAAATAGACCTATGTGCATATATTTATAAGTTTAGTATTAAGGTAGCAGTT